GGAGTGACAAAAAGGAAAAGACTGAAACTAGCTGCGTTTCCACTGACTGTAATAATTGCAGAATTTGACATTTTGAAAATAAATTTGCTGACTGGACACCCTGCTAGTTTTTTTTTTTTAATTTATTTTCTTTGGCCGTATCAAAATTATTTTATTTTGCAAAAAGTGAAATGGAAACACTTTTTTTGCATCACACAAGTCACATGATCAACAACCGGATGTTGCCACTGGTACAAACCACAAAGAAGACGACAGGAAGTAGTTGGAGGATGATGGCACAGCATGTTTTTTAATAACTTATCGCATGAAGAAACTTATTCACGTGTGATTTTAATTGCGTTTCATATTTAGTGGAAACAGCAAAACCTTGTTCTTTTTTTCACATTAGTAGAATATCCAAAGTTTTGAGAATATTTTCTGTAGTTACTGATGCTTAAATAATAAACAGAAACTAGAGACCAGCCAAATTGACAAAAGAGATCAATTACAATGACAACACAGGAAAATGGTCAATACAGAAATGATCAAGACAGAAAATAACTGAAGCGAAAAGTTCAAGCATGCCTGCGGGTCATTAGGCTGTACGTCACTCTGAAGCTTTATTTTTCCCCTGCGCTGTTTGGTGTGTGTTCTTACTGCTGCTGCTTTATGTACATCATGTCAGCCGACACTGATGGAGTGGCTTCTGAATTCTTCTTCACATTCTACTGCCTGTACAGGCTTAGCTGAAGATTTTGCAGGATGAAGGAAAAGGTTCCCACTGGAAAAATAAGAAGCTGTAATTTTCTGCAACAGAACTATAAAGCAATATTTTTTTTCACTGTGGCTTCACTCCAACTTAGTAAAGTGACTCCAGACTGTGAAAAGGTTGAGTTGTAAAAAGTATTAATTCATTTCACCAATGCAGACTTCAGCTTTCACTGCATTTGAACTCTCATATTGATTAATTATTGAACTGCTGATTCTTTTGCAGAAGTTACACTCTGAAGCAGCATTGAAGTTGCAGTATTATGTAAAACATACCTGAAATGTTGCCTTGATTCCTTCATGCATGTTTGAGAAACCCTTGAATCTCTATGGCAACCATTCAGCTGTGCAAAACACCCTGGTGGATCTAGCTCCACTTTCTAGGTGCAGCTCCTTCGCAGGCCTGTCGTTTCCCTCCCATGTGACTCCCTCAGCTCCTTCAGACTAGCCAGCAGCAATTAGCAAACACCTGGTGGAACTGCACATTAGCTGAGCTCATTGTAGGAGCTACTTCTTCTGAAACGCTGATAAAAACCTTGTTAAAGGGTTAATAGAGGAGCCATGTTGTGATGACTTCCTGAAGGCGGAGTTTTAGAAAGAGCAGGAGTTCTTAAAGAGACAGATGCCCAATTTCAAAGGGGTTAAATTATGAATTCTATTCTACATACATCATTTTTAAAACAACTGAAGGTAACATAGTTACTTCATTGTGCTATAGAATGATTCTATAATACTGCCCCTTCAAAATCTGCTTCAGCCTTGAGAGGATTAAAACCCCAAAATTACTTTTGACTGGAGGATTTTTTTTTCCGTCTCCACACACAACTGAAAATACAAGTATTACATTAATAGTGAATAACATTTAAAGAGCAACACAATATTTGAACTGCAGAGAACTTTAAACAGACATCAGCCTCAAGGTTCATAATCTCTTGTCTCCCAAAATAGTTGCAGATGCACCTTTCCTGTAGGAAAGGTAACCTGGAAAAAGCTAAACCTAGAGCCTTTTGAAAGAGTTCATCCATCCATGCACAGAGGAACTTGCAAATTCCAAACACAAAGACCCCAAAAAGAAGAAAGAAATGTAATAATTTAAGACTTTTTCGCAGGACACAGTGTGTGTGCATGTGTGTGTGTTTTTTTTTGTTTTGTTTTTTGTTTTATTGCCCTGGAGAGTTTTAACTTGCCTTTTTGGAGCTCTGCCCTAATTTTTGCAATAAAATTGTGTCTGCTTTCAATTACGGCCATCTGAACTGCGCTGTTTTGTGAAACCGCGCTGTGTAAATGAGCCTGTGTCTCCATAAATTTCTGTCCTGGTCAAAACATTATTTGTCTCCAGTTTGGTCATTTGATGTTTTGCATGCCGAGACATTCAGAAAGCCTGACCTGCTGTGTTGGGGCTTTTTATTGAGATGCAAATGTTGTCCCAGGGATTTTTAGCTCCCAGTCAATGGTTCATTGTATTTGCCTGACTTCTTGGGCTCCACAAATTTATGGTGTTGTTTGTGACTCTAATAGATCCACCAGGGCGCCGGGTGTGTGGAAGCTGTTTGTGCACATTTGATCTGAAACACTGGATGGAGTATTTGTACATTTCTCCTTTATTTCTGTCTTTTAGCTTCATGACAAATGTCTTTAACGTGGCAATCCATCACTTTGCATGATGGCAATTTATAAAACCTAATTTGGTATCAAGAAAATAATGGGCACTCGGAGATTTGATCATTAATACTTAATGAATAATTTTCCAAATGCTGAAAGTGATGGCATGCTAATAACATGAAAGCAATTTACTTTGACAGGTGGCAAATGAGGTTCAGAGAGACTGGATGGATGGATGGACAGGCAGATCTGTCCATCTGTCCGTCTGTCTTGTAATCAATGGAAATCTTAATAAAAGTAAAGAAGCAATCTTAGCCTATCTGCATTACATCATTGTCAATTTAGAAAAGTTACTGAACCTGTTTTATTAGCTGCATTTTTATTGACCAGACAATTGTGAAATTTGACATATCAAAAATAAAATAAATGTGCTCAGTGGAAATGTGTCCATTTAGAAAAAGCTCTCTTTTTTTTTTTTTGATAAGTTTTGGCACTCAGATGAGGTGTTTTTTCTTTTTTTCTTTTTTTTTTCTTTCCTTTGGCCATATTGAAATTAGAATATCTCGCACATTACAATGGAAACACTTTTTTTTCACTTCACACACAAGTCACATGACCAACGACCAGATGTTGCCACTGGCGCAAACTACAAAGAAGAAGATGACAGGAAGTAGTTGAAGGGATATTTTTTGATATTGACGTTTTGCGCATATTTATAATCGAAGCACAACTAGTACTGACCTCCTCTGTCCTCCATGTTACATTATTGCCTCCCTTGCATGGTCTTTTACTTGAATTCATTAATAGTTCTAAATATATTACCCCTCATAATCAAACACCTGTTCTAGAAGTCAGCTCATATTCATAACTGCCCTCCTCCCCTCCCACCTACCACACTGATGCTTTGCTCTTTCTTGCTTTGAGGTTCAAATGAAATGTGGCCGAGTGACAAAACTGTCAATCAAAACATGTTTCGTGACCACCGGCGTGCCCGGTGTGAAAACGTCCGTGGCTCTGCGGCCAATGTTCCATGAAGAGGCAGCAGCAGCCGGCCTGACTCGACTGTAAATAAGTTACAAGACTCTCTCTGAACTCAGGAAAATGGTCTCAATGCAACCGTGTTGCGCCGCACTCAGAGCCACTGCTGAGCTCGTGAATACGGACAGCCTATTTGTCAAGTCTTTCAATTACGAGCGTTTAATTGTGCGGTGTGCCCAGCCAGGAATGTGGGTTTTTAAGATGTATAAATACATGGTAAACACCCTTATTTACCTCGGTGTTCTCAAACATAATCACCAAGCTTGGCTCCACACTCTGTGCTCTGCATGAAATTAGCTGGCTATTGATTCCTCCGACATTTCCCCACAGTTCTCAACATCACAGGGCTCTAATTGGCAAACTTACAGAGTTTCAGACAAAGTGACAGTTTTGTTTCTAAGAGTTTTTTTTTTCTCAGTTTGAGAGAGATTGCACAGAAACTGTGCAGTCTTTTTTTATTTATTTTGATCACATTTTACATCGCTTGCTGTTCTTGATGTGACATTTGGTGACATTTACCGCAGGAATTTGAATGACTGAGTCTTAACATGAAAGGTCATGCCATTCATGAGAGTTTGCCCACTAGAGTTGCCTTATGTCAACATTTCCTGAGTTGTGCAGAGTCTACACACAGTGTTGTTCGGGCTCCTTCTGTTATGTCTGATTATTTTTTTACACTTTGAGTCGGGTTGTAGTTGTTGTTTTCAACAGGCTGTAAAATCCCACAAATAGTTCTCGTATAATAAACTAACACTAAACTGTCACTGTATGCATGCTGGGTATGAGGGATTGCTGCAAAGTCAATGACAACGCAGCGCCCCCTGCTGGTCCAGACAATGGAATAACATATTGCTATTCTGAGGTTCCCTAGATAGAAAACTGTCACAATATTGGACTGTTTAGGTTTTGGGTTTCATTTGTGTTCATACTTTATTTCCTTGTTTATGTAAGCTGAGATCTTTACCTGTTAAATTATTTCTATTTAGTTTCTCTGTTAATTTGTACTTTACATATTTTGTGTATTTTATGGCCCCTTCAGTAAATACTTTGTTAAACCACCTATTTCTGCTTGGGATGCACCGCTCCACTTTTTTTCACTTCTGATGTCGATACAGATATCTGAGGTTTAGCATCAGCTGACGGTTCTGGATTGACTTAATTATATGATAACTGCACCGGTGCAGCACACTTATACACAATACATTCACAAACTTGGTCAAACATGTAAAAATAAGCAGCAACAAACCTTTCGAATGGTTCAGAAAGTGCAATTAGGAATTCTAAATATAATATAAAATAAATAAAGCATGACGTCACTCAGAGCACAAGGTATAGATCTAAACTGTACACAACAGGCACCAATACCTGATCAGCTCTGATTAATTCTTACCTTCTCTGATCTTTATTTTTGCAGATCTTGGGCACGACGAAGAATAAACCGCTGCCTCTTGACTCCAGAGATAAAACAAATAGCTTAATGATTACTTTCTTTAGTCTGCATTTTAGAATTTTGGCACCAAACGTCTGCAGAAATGTCCAATGCCAAAATGTTGATTTGTCGTATTTTGTTTTCGTAAATTGCACTTTATAAAATTTGGGGTTTCTCTCACCAGACTAATGGGAGTGTGAAGTTTGGCAGTGACCGTAATTGGACGGGGACCACGAGGGGACACTTCTGATGCGGCAGACAAAGACGAGGGAAGCACGGCTGAGCAGCGCCGTCTGTGGGAGCTCTTATCTAAGGAAGAATCAATGTGTGCTTCTGGCCCCACTGAGGCCTCAGTGAGGCTACATTAGCAGAACTAATTAAAGCTCATTTTAAAAGTTAATTTGCAGCTGCTTCATTGCTGCTGTTTGCTTCTCCTCTTTTTCTTTCGTCTCCACATCGGCTCATTGATGGAGTCATCGCTATATTCGTAGTCCGTTAATAAGTGTTAGCAATCAGCATGCGCTACACTACTCAAATTACCGATTCAAATTACATCCAGGCGTATTCATGCCATTCATCCAAAAGTTCCTAAGCTCGTCAGAAGTTGTTCTAGATTTTCCAGAGCTAAATAAAAGAATTTTGAATATCCACATATGAGAATATCCAGTCGGCCAGCGTCCGCTTAGCTGAGTTTTGGTTGCAGTTTTACAAGATAAGATAACAACACGATCCAAGATTTTTCTGCTGTGGGATTTTTCCCAGAAGCCAAAGCTGCCTGGTTAGATTTTCAACAAGGATGTTTGACCCAACTTACCAAGTTCAAAGGCAGAGGGAGCAAATACTGAAGAAATACATGTAAACCTTTGATATGGAAGACATTTTCTCTCATTATTGAAGCGTTTAGCAAATAACATTAATTAGGCAATTCTAACTGACCTGATGCAAGATGTTAGTTAACTTCACAGTGAAAAAAAAAGTGGATGTATCTTTTTATTCTGAGTATGTAGCTTTAGCATGTACAGGTCAGAGGACATGTCTGAGAAATTCTTCATTTTAAACTCTTTAGACACTTGAGAAACGACTTGTGAACATCTCTGCAGGTGAAGCCCTGATCTGCTAACACATCTCCTGGTCCATTCTTCCATCCTGCACTCATTAACAGGGAAGCTGTGCACCTTAAATTATGTAAAGTAAACTTTTTTGAGCTTCACATCATGTTATGATGTGGAGTGTTGCTTTGATTCTTTCATGCATGTTTGAGAAATCGTTTAATCTCCTGTGGCAAC